CATCACCATACACTCCCATTGCTACATTGCTTACTATGGCAACCATCATACATTCCCATTGCTATGGTCTGTTACTATGGTAACAGTCATACAGTCACGGTGCTACAGCCACTTACCATGGCAACCATCATACATTCCCGTTTCAATGGTCAGTTACCATGGCAACCATCATACCACTCACTGGTACAGCTGTTTACCATGGCAACCATCATACATTCCCGTTTCTACAGTCAGTTACCATGGCAACCATCGTACAGTCCCATTGCTGTGGTCAGTTACCATGGCAACCATTGTACATTCCCATCACTACAGTCAGTTACTATGGGAACCTCTTGGTTCCCCTTGGACAGAAGCAGATGCAGATGAGCCTCCCTGTTGTCCACCAGCCTGCCAGCTGTGCTCTAAAAGCCTGTGGCCCAAGGGCTGTCTTCACCAAGACCCTGTACAAACCTCTGGGGCTCTTTCCATCCTCTCGTGCTGCCTTTCCAGTGAATTCCAGGGTTATCAAAGCCAACTGGAATGGGCTCTTTGTCTCACTCCACAATGTCACCCAAACCACTCTCTCCTCTCACCCTCACCCACAAAAGTTCACCCAGTTTGTTCATCCCCTAGAGCAGCTCCACAGGTCCCAGAAGCTCCTTCCCGCTGAGGACACCTCTCTCCTGCTCTTTCTCTCCTGGGTCTCCTTGGCCTTCTCTCCCAACCCATCACAGCACCAAAACCTGGGAACTGTCTCAGCAGGCCTGGGCTGTTATTGCCTGCAAGTGGAATGAAGAGAGACTTGGGGCTGCAGCTCCTCCTGCCTGTGCCCCACACGCAGGGCATTGGGGCCTGTCTGGCTGCAGCCCCTCAGCGGGGGCACCGGGGTAAGAACAGACTTGCAGTGGGGAAAGCTGCTCTGAAAGCCCCGAGAGCTGAGTCGACTTCAGGTTCATTTTTGGTTCCAATTTTCATTCTGTTCAGTGTGTGTATATATATGTATACACAAGAAGATAGTCCTTTATTAATCTTTTGAGCAGAACACTTTTCATTCGTGCAGCAAAAGTCCTGTCTCTGAATGTTCATTATCAGCACCTGATGTGCTGCCTGGAGCACAATATCCTAATAACTGGAGTTTAAGAAAAAAAAAAAAGCCATTTATTAAAGTTACAGTGTTTCATTTCTGTGCATGTTCTGATTCGGAATTATTCAAGCATTTGACTGCTCCTACACACAGAAACTTATGTCTCCCATGCATTTTTGCACCCCAAAGTGTTCTCTGGTTTCCTTTGTCTCCCACACTACGTCAGAGTATTCAAATGCACTGTGCAGTCCCAGTAGCATGTGGCACATTACAAGAAAATTTGAGACAGTTTCGCCGTTAAATGCATTTTATTTTGACCTATTTCCTTCCACTTGAGTCTCACATTTGGTCTCTTCATAGCCAATATTCTGTTTTATGGAAAGGTTTTAAAGTTTTCCTGAAGGAGATGAGTAAAAGGTAAAGTACCCAAGAACCTAAATTTATATTATTCCTTTTGCCATTATTATTAAAAATAGGAAAGAAGAAGAAGTGTTGAGGAAAATACAGGGAATGCTGATGCAATTATACCTACATGTGCAAAGCTACGTGCTTGCTTTTACTCTTGAAATTTAGACCTCTGCTTTCCTTCTACAGACTGGGACAGTTCGTTTCAGTTCCATTTTGCAACTACTGACATACATGTTCATTCCTAAATTCACTTCATATGCTTCCAAATCCTTGGGACAACATTCAGTTTAGGCACACCAAGAAAAACCTGGAGTGATTCCACCAACCTAAATGTAATTACTCAGTGCTGAATTAAAGGCACAGGTGTGTAACTTAAGATCCATGTGTCTGGAGTAACAAGGAGAGATCAAAATCTCAGCTTTTGTCATTAAATTCAATGTTTCTAGACCTTAATCCAAGACACATTTGTAGAGAGAGGTGATAGCTTCTTTTTAGAGGCATTATTATTATTAAACACTGTTTTCTTGGACTGCTCACGTTTTCTCCCAGCTCACCCTCTAACACTAATCTGTGACTAAATATTAAAAAAAAAGTGAGCTGTGAATGGTTTTAAGCTGAGACAAGATTGTCACTGTTAATGGCTTGGTCAGAGAGAGAGAGTATTTGTTTCAGCATGTAAATCTCTTTCCTGCAACATAAAGCTGCTGATTCTGGAGTTTAGGAGGCCAGCATGTCCAGAGCTGCTCTAGTCCCTGGGCTGATGAGCTCTCCCAGCTGGGTAAAGCTCTGTCAGGAGCCAGTTTGTAGTGAATTGACTGCAGGCAGAAAATAGAAAAGCTCATAGGAAACATGAGCCTGACTCAGGAGCTATTTCTGTTCAGGTGACATTCTAATCCAAGCGTGGGGTGAATCACTACAGCAAAAATTGATTGGACCCCATATCTAACGAGTATTGACAAATATGAAGAAGTTTGTTCTGAGTTAGTAATATAAGGGGTCTTTTATATAGATGGTGCATTACAACGGGGGGATTCAGGGCTTTGTCAGACTGTCTATAAAAATTAAAAAAATACACGTTTGTAAGATTTCAGAAGAAAAGGTACAGTTTCTCTTCCCTGCATGTGGCAATTTGCTGAATAATGCATCATTTTGTCAACACTTATATAGCAATAGAGAAATGCCCTACAGTGCTCCCTGCACACAGGAGACAAGAATGCAGATCGTTATGGAAACAGGCTTGAAAGTTGCTTGAAATAAAAATCTCCGTTCTATACTTGTGGCTTTGAAGGCCTGGGCTGTTTTTCTTTTCCTTCTGGAGTAGCTGCGATTCATCCTGTTCGATGGAGGGAATTCATCCCGTTTCCGAGGCCAACGGGAGGAGCGAGCGGGCGGCCATGTTGTGCGGGGGGCGGGGAGGGAGGAGCCGAGATGGCGGCGGCTCCCTCACACGCACGGCACAAGATGGCCGGGGAGCAGCGGCAGCTCCCGCACGGCTCCCGGGCGCGCTGCCCGCCGCTCGCTCGGGGGACACCCGGCCGGCGCCCCGGGTGCAGCGCTCGAGGGCCGAGTCGGGCCCGGCACTCTGGGGGCGAGCGGGGCTGCCGAGAGGGGCTGGGACGGGCGGGCGCGAATGGCGCCGGGGCTGCGGAGCGCTGCCCGCGCCGCTCCCTCGCCGGGCGGGCGCGGGGCCGCCCTTGGCCGCGGGAAGGGCGAGCATCGGAGCAGCGCCCCGTCCTCGGGGCCCCCGGTGCCGGCCAGCGGGCTGCTGTTCGCCAGGTAAGTGCCGCGCTCCTCCTTGTCCTTTGTCCTTGGGAGGGAAACCAAAATGTCCTCGGAGCCGGGAGGGGAAGGGGGCGCTGCCTCTGCCGGCCCCCCCTCCCAGCCCTCGCCGCTCGCTGAGGGGACCCGCGGGAACTCTCGGGGACCCCCGGCCGTGTCCTGCCCGTGGGGGGTGAGGGGGAGCGGCGGGACCGGGGGAGCCCCGGTGCCCCTCGGCGGCTGCGGCGCTGCCGTCCCGGCCCTGCAGCACCCGCGGGGGCCGCACGGCCCGGCCCCGATGCAGCACCGAGGGGGCAGCGGCGGGGTTTGGGTCCCCGGTGCGGCCCCGGGCACAGGGGGGGCACTACGGGAAGCAAAGGTAGTTACTTAACTATGAGTTACAGGATAAGGAAACGGAGGAGTTTGTGTGTTACGTGGAAAGCTTTTAAAAACGTTTCTTGGGTGTCAGGTTTGGTTTTAGTGTTCAGTTGATGCGTTTTTCAGAGACTTGACATCCAGAGCAATGTGCTCTTGAGGGTTTCCACCTTCACTTGAACAAAGTGTGATTGTTTTGCAATTGCCCACGAAAGCTGAGAAGGAAGAAGTTGAAAAATGTCAGCAATTGTGTTGCCCTGTAAAGTGGAAAACTGAGACCTTTTGAATTTCAGTCAAGGAAACCATTTCTCAAATGACTCTTGTGCCAAGAGCAAGCTGGTGGGAATAGACAGCAGGGAGTCCAAATCACCTGGTTTAGAGGTTGTGAGATGGGATTTGGTGCTCAGGGGTTGATACCCCTGTGCTAGCAAATGCCTGTTTGCTGTCCCTGTGCCTGTGTTCCCCTGAGGGCAGAAACTGGCAGCAGGGTGGCTGCAGGAATGCCCAGCAGTCTGGCTTGCCTGCACTGGCAGCTGCCTGGCCACAGTCACCAGGCAGCAAGAGCCCCTGGAGAGCTGAGTCTGGCTTTTAATAATGAAACCACACTGTCAGTCGGTGCTGCTCATGTTTCTCCAGGCAGAAAATAACCTTTCAAGCCCAGAGTTGACAGGCCCAGCCTGCAGGGCCGTCTGGCTTTCCCTCACTCTGGCAAGCTGACTGCTCCCATCTTCTGCACCAGCCTTTCCTGGCAGTGTCTTGTGCTTCTCCCTTGCTTCTTTACAGCCCATTTCAATTCTCTTTGCCATCTCATTGTGTCGGGGCTTGTCTCTTTGTCTCGCTGTGTTCCTCCTTTTCTCTTCAGTTTCCCAGGAAGGCCAAGGGTCTGGTCTCCTCTGCTGGTGTGCCCATAGGACTGTCTCCCCACAGCTGGGCTTCCCCACTCCACCTCAGTCTGTTAGAAGGGCATTTCTTCCTTCCCCCATGACAATGTGCTGGTTTGCCTTCAGGTAGCACATTCTCCCTCTGGAACAGGGCTGCGTGGCTGTGTGCAGGCAGAAGCAGGCAGATTCTCTGGGCTTGTTGAAATGAGGGTGACTTGGTTCAGGTGTTCTATCTCCATACTGCTGGTGCCTGACCTTCCTTCCCAGCAGGCACTGCCCTACTGCCTCTGGCCGAGCTGCTTTGCCCAGGCAGAGGGATCCAAGTTCACCCTTGTGTAGCCTGTGCTTGTACCTCCAGAGCTAAAAGTCCTTTGGGAAAGTGGTCAAGGAAGGCTGTCACCAGGGCACACCCAGGTCTCCTCCTGTTTGCACAAGTGGCAAAATCACCATTTTGTGTCTTTCCTGCAGGTTACTCGGCTGGTGAGGGTCACCATGGACAGCTCACCTTATTTCAAGTTGGTCGGCCCCGATGGTGTGTGCCATCAGATCCCACCGGGCTCATTTTGCACTATAAACATCCTTTTCACCCCTGAGGGGAGCAAGGTGAGTTGGGAGGAACGTTCTCTCTAAAGCCAGGGCGTTTGTTGCACACTGGTTATAGCCCAGCCCGTGCTGTGAGGTCGGCTCTGGGCTGGGGGCAGGCAGCCTGGAGCTGGTCACACCTTGGCACAGCGTGGTGCTGCCAGGCCCTGCAGCTGGGCCTAGAGGGCTGTGCTTTCCCTCCGTGCCTGTTCTTGAACGTTCACGGGGGAAGAGGCAGATGGAACAGCAGGGAAATGACAGGGAGGGGTGTTGAGGTTTAGCCATCTCTAGGTTCAGTGGAAGGGATTTAAATATGGAAAATACCAGAGGAACAAAAAGATGATCCAGAGAGCTTTATTCTTTCCCATTGGAATGGAGCAAAACTGATGCTTTTTCACATGCTCTGTTCTCCAGCCTTTATTAGTATGAATTAGTGGTCATTTTGGGGGTGGGAGAGGTCAATTCATGCCCACAAAGGGTCATAGAAAACAGCCCTTTTTCTTCTGCCATGAGGATGGCACTCAATGCCCTCAATGCTGTGCCAGTCTCTTTTCCTGCAGGATCATTTCCACCAGCTTGTCTGCAGCAGTGAAAGGGAAAAGGTCTCTGTGCCAATCCGAGCCATTGGTGCCCGCCCAGTCTTGGACTTCCCTGCCCAGCTGGACTTCTCGTCGTGTCCAGTCAACCACAGCACCCAGAAGACTCTGCTGGTTCACAACATCGGGAACCTGGAAGCCTGTTACAGCCTCAGCACTGAGAGGTAAAGCAGCTCATCTGTCTTAGTGCAAAACACCTTTGGGTGATGGCAGAGTTGGGAAAGAGTATCCCAAAGGAACCAGAGCATCCGAGCTGCTGCACTGCAGCCACAGCTGGAAAGGGGCAGGACGTGTGGGGTCTGCTGTTGCTTCTAGTGTTTTAAGCAGGATGCAAGCCCTGAGCTTTGTCTCTCCCAGATTTCCTGGGGACTGCTGGAACACGTTAGTGGTTGGTCTGCACCCTCCTGAGCACCACCACCTTCTGAAATGGCTGCCTCCCACTGTCAGCCAATAAACCCACTGGGCAGAAGCACCTCTCACCTGAGCTATCCCAAAGCACTAAAGCACTGATTTTTGTGTCTGTCAGGCAAGAGCTGTTTACCTGGTGACAAAGCCAAATTGCTCCTGTTAAATCCAAGCTGCACCAACACATTTGCCTAATGATTTCCCTTGTTTCTCTGGTGGGCCAAGCAAACAGTTACCAGCCTGGATGACACTCCAGAATCCCAGACTGCATGGCTGGGGAATACACAGAAACCTCCTGTTCAGCTCCCTTGATGTGCTGCTCTTAATGGCACTTCATTTAGCTGGGATTGAATCCTTCAGGCTGTAAACAGGACCCTCCTTTTGGGTATTGTGTCCAGGTCACTGTATTGCTCCAATTTGCAGTTGCACTCCTTCAGAGTTTTCATTGTTCCTTTTCTTCCAGCAGCTTTCATTGAAATGTGATAAAAGGTGCCCTTTCTTAGGCTAAACCAGGATGTTTACAAGGGGAAAAACAACCCCAAACAACCACACTGCAAATTAAACTCATTATTCTCTGGTCTTCAAGGAAGACTTTATTCTCCCTCTTGATTCCTAGGCTGTAATCTCACAGGACAGGTGAGATGCCATTTGTATCTCTTGAATGAGGTTTAGAAGGGACTGGAAAAGAGATTCCTGAGGCAGTCAGTGTCAAGTTGTGCATGCAAATAGCTCTTAACCCTCTCTGTGCTCTTCCCAAACCATTCTCTGCTGGGATTGCTGGCAGTCGGACCCTTGAGCCTCCATGCAGAGTATGGGGGAGATGAGTTCATTTCATCCAACAGGATTTTCTGAGGGCTGCATCTCCTCCAAAGAGAGTCAGTAGCTGTTTCTGATGCTGTGTGTTCTGTCTGTCTTCTGCTGACTGTGGTTGCTTTGCTCCTCCCTTGCACAAGTCAGCTGAAGTGAACTAGACTGCAAGTATCGTCCCCAAACCTCCCCCAAGAGTCCTGATGTCTCTCTTGGTCTTGCAGCCCTTTCACTGCCAGCCCAGCCACGGGAACCCTCGATGTTGGTGAAGCCAAGCAAGTGACAGTGGAATATCACCCGCTGCAGACCGGGCACCATTGCACATCCCTGGCAGTGCACTGCGACAGAGGTGAGTGCTGGGCACTGCACGGGGCACTCACCCCGCGTCCTTCCCAACAGCAGAGCCCTTTCTAAGCAGAATAACGTTAGACTTGCTCTGCAAACTACTTGTAGAACTGTTCCTTTCAAAGCCTCCGTGTGTTTCAGTGCTCAGAAGTGAGCAGAGAAGGGGCCAAGGCTGAGTCTGCCCCTGTCCTGGATGTGCTGTGTTGCTGTGTGCTGGTCCATCCCTGGGGGGACCCTGGTGCCAGCATGGTGTCCTCCATCCTGCACCCCCACCCCAGTCCTCTACCAGCACTCCCCACTGTCCCAGCCACCTGAATTCCCCCTCCAGCAGCACCGCCCCGTCCCAGCTTCACCGCAACGAAAAGTGCAAACTAGTTAGTGTTTAGGGGGTTGATAAAGTGGATAAAGCCCTCAAACAGGGATGAGATTTTTGGAATCCTGTTTTGCTGGGAGTTGCTGAGTGGAGGAAGGAGGAACCTTGATTCTCCACTGCAGTGTGGATGTGCAGGGCTGAAGTTGTGTTCCTGGACAGTGCTGTCTGTGACATGTGAGCTTTCCATCCAACTCTCTCCAACGCCATGTGTCTCTTGCTCACCTCTGTCCCCTAAGCTGCTTCTCTGTTGTCTTGCCACAGACCCCTTTTCTATGTTGTCCTTTACACATACATGTCATTTCTGTCTAAGAACATTTTCAGGCCCTCGGGTTCCTGTTGGATGACAAACCGTGACAAATTGTCCCTTATTCCCATTTCCCAGGCCATTCATGCTCTCCAAACCTCTCCCACCTGTCTCCCATTTGATTTCTGGGTTGAGGAACCCCATTCAGTCTTCGTGTAAAAGCTGCTCTGTACTTTTAGTCTGTCTCTCTGCCCTTCTTTCTTTCAGTTCAAATGCTTCAGCTTGGTGTTTGAGATCAGAATGATATCAAATATTTCTAGACTGATGTGGCCATGGGTTTGGACAGGGAGCGGGACTGGGAGAGGCAGGAGCCCCGTGGGGTGCCTTCAGGAGCCCCTGGGCTGTGACTGAGTGGGGCTCCTTAGAGTCACCCGAATGAATTTGATGCAGAATTGCCTGGGATCTGAGTGGGTCACCTGAGCACACCTGACAAATCTCACTGTAAATACTGTCACCTGGGGACAAATCTCTACAAACCCACCCAGAAATCAGGTGCTTAAGGTGGTGTCCAGGACATCCTCACACTGTACCCACGGAGCTGTTGGGATTTGATAAATGTACTGATCCGTGGAATTACTTATCCAGCTAAAAGCTGGACACTTTCTTCTGTTACCTGTGGTTTGCTCTGCTCCTTGTAATTCCATCAGCAAGGGAGCTGAGCAAAGACTCCTCTTTGCTTTGTTCCAGGTGAAGATACCCACACCAGACTTCTTGGAAAAGCTAAGGACTTCAACATCGGGCTGGACAAGTACTCTCTGGAACTTGTCAAGCCACAGAACCACGGCCATCCACAACAGAAGTAACATCACAGCCCGATTCCAGTGGAAGGCTTTTGCTACTGAGGCAGAGGAGTATCCACAGAAGATCAGGTTGGTCTGAAAGATGCAGTGACATGCACTGCCCAAGGGTAAAACTAACCTATGGCCTCAGGGGGTGCTTGTGCTTTTGAGTGCTTTAGGGTGTTAGGAACAAGTAGGTGTTCCTGCAGAGTTTGCAGGGCAGTCACAGCTCGCAGTAAGAAGCGACAAAGTTGTTCAGTTCTCAGCTCCGGAGAGGGGCAGTTTGCCCAGAGACAGGGGGACCAACCAGCAGCACGGGAGGATCATGTGGCCCTGTCCTCCCTTTTGAAGTGCTGTGGCCTCCACCTTGAACAATGTCAGTGACCTCCAGAGCCACCGAATCAGCACATAATGGGGGACACACAGTAGGCCTGCTGGGCAGCCTGTAACTCCAGAGTATCCCAGCCAATGGAGAAATGGGGAGGGACCTGTGCTCCGGGCAAAGGAGATAAAAGAAGCTGCAACCTCCACTGAGTTGAGAGACCTCCCTGAGGTCTGTTCAGTGAACTCTCCCTTTTATTAGAGTAAAGGTTTATTTTTTCAGTTAGCTCCTCTGTCTCCTGGCCATTTATGCGAGTTACTTCTGTACAGTCCCTCATCAGCATGGGAGGCGAGAGTGGCAGTGGTTTTGCCATTCCACATACTCAGGTCTTGGTTCAGTGGTTGTCAGGGGTCCACTCTGGGGGTCCTCCGAGGCGAGTGCCCCCTAAATCAGTCGTCCTATTTGTGACCCCGCTTCTTGCACTCGGGCAGGTATTCCCTTGTTATATAACACAAGGCAGTGGAAGGTGGGGGTGCAGAGTATCAGGGCCTTCTGGCACGTCATGGGGAAATTACTGTCTGTTGATGGAGGTTGAGCAGAGGGTTGCCACCTCAGTGGCTGGATGCCCTCCTCATGCCCAGCACTGCAGGTCAGCCCTGGAGAAACATTTCCGAATGTGGTGCACAAGGAGCCAGCCATAGCCAGTATTTTTGGGGCAGGGAGCCAGCCATAGCCAGTATTTTTGGGGCAGGGGGCCAGCCATAGCCAGTATTTTTGGGGCAGGGAGCCAGCCATAGCCAGTATTTTTGGGGCAGGGAGCCAGCCATAGCCAATATTTTTGGGGCAGGGAGCCAGCCATAGCCAGTAGTTTTGGTGCCGGTGACAGTGTTTGTCCAAGGCTCTGTCTGTGTGCAGCTGGTAATATCCATGACTGTACTTCCTTTATAACTGTGTTTGAATTTGGCTGGGTGAGGGTGCTGTCCTGTTTATACTCCACTGCCTCAATTTGCTCCCTATGGAACCTTCTACTTGTCCCCCCAGTTGCCACCTGCAGGTTCTTCACGGCCAGGGGACTGGAGTCTGAGGGGGGAACAGTGATCTGCCAGCTGGGAAGCAGCTGTTCCTTTCTCATCTCTTGGTTGTGATCTTAAAACACTGGAATGATTTCTGCTGCAGCTACCAAGTAACGGAGCAATTAACTGTGCCAAAGGTCTGCAGAGAAGGCCAAAAGGAGGAAAACAAGAAGGTGGTTCAAGGCTAGATGTCCCCCTCTCAGGGCCTCTGTTTTCATGCCTACAAAACCTTTAATGTCACTGAAGAGGTGCCATGCCTGAATTCATCAGTTGGCTTTGAAAGTGCTCTGGGATGCTCTGGTGGAAGACAGTGTAGGGAACAGGGCACACAGGGTTAGCTTATCCCTGCAGGTCCAGAAGGGAAGAAGCCAAGAGTGATGCTGGTAACCTGCAGCTGAGAGCCAGCTTCTTCTCCCCTTGCCAGGGAAGCCCTGCAGGCAGTGGGGGGGGCTCCTTGATCTTTATCTGTCTCCCCCAAGCAGCTCTGTGGTAGGAAGAGTCAGTTGAGGTCACTGGTGGGTTCTCCCTCAGTTTTGGCAGTGGCTCTGAGCCAGGAGGTTCTCTTGAGGGCTGCTGGCTTTTAAAACCTCTCCTGAGCTTGTAAGTGTGGAGTAAAAGCACCTGCCCTGCGAGTGAACGACGAGTGATCCTCTGAGCCCTTTGGGAGCCCGTGGCTTGAGCTCAGCCCCTTGCTGGGGAGCTGCTGCTGCTCCTCCCCGAGCGCTTTGCTGCTTCTGCACTTACACTCAGCTCTGCAAATCAGCGGCTTATTAAATGACCTGCTGCCTTTGTTTCTCCCTGTGGCTGCAGGCTGTGTCACAATCTGTCTCGGCCACCCCAGGAGATAGCAAAGGCTCTTGTGATGAAGCGCTATGAGGAGCTGGACCTTTACGACCGCGAGTTGGAGAAGGAGACAGCAAAGATTGAAGCAGACCCCATGCTCTTCTCAGATGATGTTTTCACCATTGAGCCCTTGGTAAGTAATAGCTGAGAACCTCCTCCTCCTCCACCCCCTCCCTGAATGAGGTCACTCGGCAGATCCCCACCTCAGCTGTCTCGATGTGCCCTGAGAGAAGACATGGGGTTTCTGGCCAGGCTGGAGAGCATGTTGCAAAAAGCATTGCTACCCTGTGGGCTCCTGGCAGGCAGCAGGAACCTGCCTAAAGCTGAGCTCTGCTGCAAGGGCTCGACGTCAAGGGAGCTTGGTGCGTGTCCTTGCAGTGTCCAGAGGGGTCGGTTACTGTAGGAAGGGGCACAGCTTACACGTGATGTGTGGGGCTTCCCAGAGGGTGTTGGAGCACTGTCAGTTCACAGACTGACCTGAAGCGAAAAGGAGGCCAAATTCAGCCCAAGGTCATGGAAATGCCAAGCCCTCCCTGGAACCAGGACTTACAGCATGTCTGAGTCTCCCTTCCAGTGTCATCTGGGAGCCTGGACACAAGACTTGGAAATGGACTTTTTGAGTTCTATTGCACACAGGGACAGAAAATCTTTTTCTGTTTCTGCAAGCAAACCCCCATGTCCTTCCATCAACCAGAGCCCTGATTATGAGTATTGGCACAGCGTGAGATGAGGAATCCCTGCTGTCTGCGCAGTGCAAAATCCTTCCTCGTCTTGGAGTAAACCCTACAATAATCCCAGCCTCTGCTTTCTTTTAAAAAAAGTGAAACTAAGTTTTTTCTTTCCAAGGAAGGGGATCATGTTCTCTTCTTGGTGACTCCTATAGCCCATCTAAGGCCAAGAGCCACCAGTGTCAGCACAAGAGCAGTTTCACACCACTGTAGCTGACAGCAGCACGATGTGACCAAGCGCTTGTGTCAGAGCAGTAGGAATATTGTAGCGTGGGGGCTGATCAGCTGAGCATTAAGAGCATCCTGCGGTTGTGTTGAGCTGGTTTGGGAGTGTTGTTCACTCCTTGCTCTAAGTAAAGGCTTACAGATTGAAAAGAAGAAATGTGATACTGGAAGGTAAATGGTTTGCTGTCTCTTTCTGCTTTAGGAGGGAGAGGTTGGGCCACATTGTTCAGCTGAAATCAAGGTGTTCTTTAAACCCCGAGAAGCCCAAGTCTACAGAAAAGTGGCCTACTGTTCCATCTCAGGTACGGCTCCTTCTCCTCTTTCTCTTACCCACACACAGTGAGGGGGAGGTGCAAATACTCTTCCAGCCCACTGAGCTCCCGTGGAAGTGCTGGGAAGGGTCCAAGGTCATCAGGGCAGTGCTGGCTCATGTCCACTGTCCCTGCAGCTTCCTGGTGGTCTCCCATGCAAGGCCAGGGCTCAGGACACTGTTCCCAGAACAATCCAAGCAGTGCATGGATAAGCTCTCATGCCACGGGTTTGCCAGTATTTCCTCAAAGGCCAAAGAGCTACACAGCAGAACAGCTTTAGGGCACAGGCACTAAGCCCCTCTAGAGCACTGACCTCCAGGATGGCTCCTCATTCCATGGATCCATCATCAGGCAGTAGGAGCTGAGGTAGAAATGTGCTCCCTGAGCCCGGATCACCTCCCACTGCCCAGACAACAGCAGACCAGAGGTGGCTGAGCCCTGCTGAGCCCAGGCTGTCTGCAGAAGGACCACCCCTGGCCAGCACCTGCTTCTCTCCCTGTGTGGGAATTGTCACCTTCTGGCTCTCAGGCTGAAGTGTGTCCAGGTGGTGGCCACTGGGCTTGCTGTGCTCAGCTTCCAGGAGTTCTGTCAAGTCCTTTTCTGGGAGCAGTTATCATTACCCCCCACCCCGAGGTGGTGGCTTTGCTGTGCCCGCACAGGGGAGGGAACACTCACAGAGCACAGCGTGGTTCAGGTTCCCCTGTCCTTCCTCTCTGTCTCTGCATGGTGCTGCTTAGTGTTTTTCACCTTAAAGTGGGAGATGGCTGCCAGGTTTCCATCCAGGGAATACTCTGGGTTTGCCCATCTACGAGAAAGAGGTGGGAGGCCCATGGTCCTCCAGCAGCCAGGCTCCTGTTCTGGAGGGTGCTGCAATCCCCTGACCCAGCCACCCTGTTGCCTTCCTTCCTGCTCCAAGCTGATAGATACAAATGTCATGAAACAGCTTTTTATTTAGACAGTAATTGTGCAGGGATAACTCAACAAATGCCATCTACAGTAATTACTCAGGGCTCACGCTAACAAACTCTCTTCTTGCCCACCAACTGCTGTCGTTAGAGCTGTGGAAGGAAAGCATGGATTTAAAAAGTTGCTCCCAAGGCATTCCTTGTGATGTGTGAAACTGTGCATCTCTGTTTGTTGACATGGTCAGATGAGAATCGTGTTCCAAGCCAGTCACCGAAGCACGGGGACATTCTGTCAACAAGATGCTGAGTGTCAGAAAGCAGCAGAAGCTGAAGGCTTTGGCAACAAAGCCCTGTGCTGTTGGGCCACTGCCCCCCAATTTAGTTGGAAGCCAGGCAGCAATGTCCAACTCTTTGCAAGCTTTGTCCCTTCACTGAATGGGTTTCAAAGCTCCTCCAAGTGTGTGAGAAGGAAATCACAGAATCATAGAATGATAAGGGGTTGGAATGGCTCTTAAAGATCACCTAATCCCCAACCCCCCTGCCATGGGCAGGGACACCTTCCACTAGCCCAGGTTGCTCAGAGCCCCGTCCAACCTGACCTTGAACACTGCCAGGGACAGGGCAGCCACAACCTCCCTGGGCAACCTGTGCTAGGCTCTCACCACCCTCCCAGGGAAGAATTTCTTTTGTATATCTAACCTAAATGTCCTATCACTGCAGAAATCATGTTTTAAACTTGGCATCGCTTTTTCAGGGTGCAAACTGGTGGCTAAACGGGAAACAAGCCCGAGGGGTGGGTTAGAAATTGGAAGGAGCTGGTCTCACCCATCTCAGAGTCAGGGACTAGCACTGAGGCAGCCTGGAAAAAGCAGGATAAGAGAGTAAGAATTACTCTACTGAAATGGAAATCTCTCCCCAGGCCGTGAGACCAGGCTGCCCCTGCACCTCACAGGGGAAGGCCTCGAGCCCTGCCTCCAACTCAGCTCTGAGGAACTGGACATGGGGAAAGTTTTGGTTGGAGAAGCCTACAGCTACGAGGTGAGCAGCAGGGGCTGGGGTGGATCCTGATGGCTCCTGGGGCAGAGGGGAGCCTGGTGGACCTGTGGAATTTCTGGCAACTTGGGCAGTTGTGAGCAGGGAATATTTGTCATACTAGTCAAATCTGGGGGGTTTCACAGAATCTGGATCCTTTTCCGGGGCCTGAAAGGTGTTGTCTGAAGGCCCAATTCCTGCTTTTTGACAACCGCCCTTGGAGATCAGCTGGGATGCTTTCTGCAAAACAACCCCTCAACACATGAAAGCAACACTGGGTCAAAAAGCTGAAGTGTTCAGAGGCTTCTGTTCCAGCCTCAGACTCAAGGCACCTTTGTGCTCGGGCTGTTCAAGAGCAGCTGGAACAAACTGGCTGCGTTTGAGCTTGAGTCCACTGCAAGAGAGAGCAACTGAAAAAGGTGGAAAATGAGGCACTGCATCATGCCAGACACTTCCAAAAGCTTTGCCATGGCAGGAAAGGACACACGGAGTTGTTTTCTTACTAAAAGATTGTGCTCTCTCTTCTTTTTTGATGCTGATACTTTAGTGTTTCTCACTATCAATATAGTAATTTCATTAGATGAGAAAAGGTGAATGAGTAGATGATACTGTTAGTGCTGTCCTAAGCAGCTACGCTGCAGGTAAACCTCAGCTCAGCATGGGATCCCCAAGTGCAATTTGTAACACAGGTAACACACGAGAGGAGAGTAGTTTTCAAGTTTCAAGGCAGAGGTTGAATATGGGAATATTTGCAAGAGCAGCTGCAAAGCTACAAAATGAGGGACATCCCTCTGCTTCTGCCTCAACTGTTCTGACAGGTTTTGCCAGGCTAACAACTGGGGAAAGAATTCCAAAGCAGATGGATAAGTCCATGGCAATGGCAGGGTTTCCCCATGGCTGTGTAGAGATGGGAGAGAGCAACTCTTTAGAATAGGTGGAGCTGCTGTGCACCTCACATTCATCCTTTCTTGACATGTCTGGCTGAGCAAGGTCTAAGAAACTATCAGATTAAAGGAAAAATACAAGAACCCAAATGATCTACCCTAGCAGAGCTGGGGAGAGCTTCTGAAGCTGGTGATAGCACTGTTCTGAGGTGTCTTCTGCACGCAGTAAACCGGTTGGCTGCCATGGAAGCTGAATGTGTGCTGCCCTTGGCAGGGCCGGGCACCCCTGGAGCAGCAGCAGCAGCTCTGTGGGGGTTCATTACGTGGCTGCAACTGCCCCACGTTGCTCCTCAGGCCAGGTCTGAATGAACTTGGCGATGCTGGCCAGGAGTGACCCGCTCCGTGTCCCTGGGATAACCCAGGAGTGACTCTGCTTATGTGAAGTTATCGCTGCTTTGCATGAAAACCCAAAGGCAGAACTTGTCCTGTTGTACTTTTTTGGCTTCTGCCACGTAGCAGCACATGGCATCTTCTGCCTTTCCAGGGGTTAATCGTTTCTTAGAAACAACTCAGCCTTCTGTAAGAAAGGAAGTTTGCTCATGTCTTTCCATTTTGCTTTCTTGCTGCTGCAGGCAATGCTGGTTAACAAAGGAGCTATTGATGCTCCCTTTGAGCTCATCCCTCCAACCACAGCCCGTGGCTCCTGCTTCACCTTTCGGCCCCAGCAGGGCATCATTCCACCCAGTGGGCTCCAGCCTATCCAGATCTCCTTCAGTTCCACCACCCTGGGGGAGTTCAAGGAAGAATTCCATTTCAATGTGGCTGAATGCCCTAAGCCTGTGACCTTGACTATCAGGTGAGGAGGGCTCTGGGAGCTTGGTGGGCACGTCTGTAGCTGTCTCTGGGTAATCATCTCTCACCTGCCTCATTTGGTGGTGGAGCAGAGAAAAAAGGTGTTGCCCGAGGTCTTAGTCTTGGCTCTGATGTTGGCATCCCCTCAGTGTGGGGATGCCTTCTGCCCAGTGCAGGTGCCCAGGAGCTGGAGTGACTCCTTCCTGCAGGGACCTCCCTCCGCCTTGGCCGTGGCAGGCAGTGGGAAGGCATTAGTTTTGGGCAGCTGCTGGTCTGGGATGTCCCCTCTGAGCGCCCAGCAAGGCCCCCAGGGCTTTGGAGATGGGCCAGCCTGGGTGACTCTGCAGCCAGAAGAAGTGGTTCTAAAATCCTCTGTTAATGATCTGTGCCAAAGGGGCAGCAGCAGCCTCACATCATCCCTCGTGCCCAGGCACAGGCACAGGCTGTGCTCCCGGCTCCTGTGCAGGGAGTGCTCTGGGACCTCCTTTCCACAGCAGGAAGGGACTGGGGTGGGAGATGGGGAGCTCTGCAGCAGCAGGGACTGTCACAAGGACTTGGGCATCCTCCCATGGGCTGGTGCCATTGCAAAAGATAATCCTCGCCCAGCAATGGGGAAAAGGGGTGATGAAGGAGAGGCAAAGCTCTCTCCTCAGCACCACAGCAGCACGAGGGCTTGTCCCAGCTAGTCTGAACCACGGGCTGGTGGGGTAATGTGGTGGAGGCAGGAAAGCTGATGCTGGGAGCTCTGGAGCTTTGGAGGTGGCTGTGTCTGGGCTGCTGTTGGGAGGCACTGAATCAAGGTAGTAAAGAAACAAAAGGAATCTGCAGTCCATTTTACCAGGAACATCAGGGAAGTGGATAAAACATAACAAAAAGGTTATTACTTTGCAAGAGAAAAGTAGTGAGTCGGTCTTTCTCCTAAGGCAAGGGCACAGAGCCATCTCTGGGTGTGTGTACAGGGTCCTCCATGGGGCCAGCAGCACCTCGGGGGCATGCCCTGCCTGCCGTGGTGCCCTGAGCCCCATCAGCAGCTGTTGGCTGCCTCCTGTGCCCACGGACGCCGTGCTGAGCACAGGGTGCGGGGCTGGTTCGACGCCCACGGGGCTCTGACACCAGCTTTGACCCACCTGAGCCGGAAGGACGGCCAAAGGCTTTGCAGTTCCCTTTAACCAAGCCGTTGTCTCCTCTGTCCTCGTCCTCGCAGGGGCCACGTCACCGGACTGAGCCTGCATTTCAGCACAGGTGGCCTTGACTTCAATGACGTCTCCTTTGGTGAGTGTTCCCTGGGCTTGGAGGCAGCAGGAGGGATCTGTGCCTTGCCAAAACGGAGCACTTGAACAGAAGAGCATCTGTCACTCGTGCCCTTCCATGGCAGCCTGCAGGGTGTTAACTCCAGGGCTGCTGGTGGCATTTTGCCATCGTGAGATCCGAAAGGACCAAAGGAATAGAAAGTCAGTATTTTCTGGTGTCCCTCGTAGTCTCTTCTGCTCCAATCTCCCAGTCCTTGCCAGCAAAACGACTGTAAAAGTCCTCGTCCCAGGAGGGCCCAGGGGATGGGACTGCAGGAGAAGGGAGCTTAAGCCACGTACCTTTAGTGTGGGATGTTAATTAGTGGTGTGAGGGCACCTCGTTATCCCTGAGCAGGTCAGATGCCCCAGCAATAGCTCTGTCTCAGGCACCTGTGTCCTCAGAGCCGTGGGCTTCTTCTTCTTCTTCCCCAGCAGAAGCCCAGCTCTGCTGACAGAGCTTTTGGCTGAACATCCAGAGTGTCACCATTGAAATGCAGGTTCTGGTTCTCCATCTCAGGCTCACAAAAGGCTTTCTACTGAGATGATCTACAGTTTAAATGTGAAATCAGTCGTGGATTGACTGAAGGGCCATTATCATTCTGCACCCAGGATGCCTCTGTGGAGGCTCCCTGCTGGAGTCACTGCTGGAGCTGGGCAGTGTCCCTGTTGATGGGCACGGAGAAGCTCCCTGCTGTGCCTGCAGTTGGTTTTCCTCCCCATCTGGGTTCAAGTGATGCTTGGTAAGCAGGTCCTGGGAGATGTCTCCTCCCCACAGAGCTGGCCAGCCAAGCCACCTGTCCACTGCAGAGCAGGCTGTGGGCTGGTGTCCTGGCTCTGCAGGACATCCCCACCAGGTGTGGCTGTATCCCTGGCTTTCTGTTACGGGAAGCAAGTCTCAGAGCATAGTTTCATCCTACCAGGATATTCACACCAGAAGTCACGAGGTGCTTGGTGCCTACATGGCCATTTGTGTCATTTTCCTAGGCTTTCCTCAGACCTTGTCGTGCCACCTGATCAGCACCTCCGTGGTGCCCATCACCTTCCACCTTCGCATCCCTGGGGACGGCCAGGGACAGCCCAGCCTTAGGAGCTCTGATCAAGTGAAAGACAACGCTCACCCCTCCTGGGAAAAAGGCACACTGGCTCCATGTCAGGAGAAGCCAGTGGAGTTCACCATAACACCCAGCACAGGGACCATCCCTTCCCAGGGATCCCAGGAGATCAGGGTATGGGAGGAGTCTGGCCACACATGGGTCAGTAGGTGGGGCTGAAGCCTCACTGGGCTGTGGGAGGGCTTTAGTGCTGTCGGCTCTCAGCATGTGCAAGGGAGGGATCTGCAGTGGTGTGGGAGCTGGGTTACGTGGAATGTTCCTGAAGGAGCACCATTTTGTCTCCAAAACCATAAGGTGAGATCACATGGTCAACAGAAGTCATTCGTGTGTTGGTTTTGAGCGTGACTTCTTTGACTGAAAACAGGCAGAGGAAGGATGAGAACAGAAGGTGGCTGTTAGAGAGATGCCACTGTATAAAGCAGTTTGCTTTTCTTCCCAGTCTCGTTTCTCCTCTCCTGGGGAGCAGAATGAGTTGAGGTCACTGCAGGGATCCCCAGTGAGGAAAGAAAAAACTCGGCAGCCATGAACTGCCCAGCATCTGCAGGAGCACACCTTGCCCTCAGCTTCCTGCTGAAAAGCTGAACTCATTCTGTCCAAGTCAACACATTTCCTTTGCATTTATGTTATTGTAGTCAAATGAAAAAATGGGCCCCTAATTTGAAGGCAGTAGTGAGTAGAGCTTTAGTCTCATTATACATGATTATGTATAATGCTTTAATTTAGCCACCTCTGCCCTGACAGCTGCAAGGTGTGTTTAACAAATTCAGTATTGCCAGAAGGCTTATGTTACTCCCAGAGACTGTGCTCTAGGCATGGGCCAGCAGAAGAATTAAGGCAAAATCCTCCCTTGCCTTACTGCGAAACAAGAACCGGAGGAGACCACACGTGGGTAATGAGCTTTTGGGAGAAGGGAAGTATTTGCTGCTCTTCTCTTCCACCAGGTCACGCTGTGTTCCAATGACGTGGGACAGTACGACTGTGATATGGTGCTGGACGTGGATGGTTTTGGCAAGGAGGTGTTGGCTCTGTGCCTCAAAGCCAGGTACCAGTGCTCTCCTTGCAGCTGCTCGTCCTTCCCCGTGCACCCACCACCAGCACAGTGCCTTGCTCGGGGTTTGCTGGCTGCAGCTCCAGGAGAAGGCTTGCTTAAGAAGCTGGTTCTGCCCAGCTAGGTAGGAGAAGAGCAGTGCTTGGAAAGCAGCCCGTGGTGAGAAGCACCCCTGCTCACAGCCAGGCATGGCTCTGGGCCTTTTTCTCTGGGGAACAGGAATGACATTATTTATTGGCCTGGCTTTTGCTGCTTGAGGTGTAAAAAATTCCCAAGCTCCTCCTGTCCTTCTTCCTGCAAGAGGTGGGCTTGTGCTGGGTTCCAACCACACTGCAGCATTGGTTTGGGACGCAGTGAGCAGCCTGCTGAGAGCTGGGGTCTGGCTCAGTTAACGAGGGCACATGGCAGTGGGAAAGGGGCTCACAGCAGGAGTGGGAGAGGAAAGTAGTCCTTGATGTGGTAGGTGGGCTCAGGTTTCCCTGCTTCCCTCTGGCTCTTTTGAGCATTAACATTCTCAGTTCTCAGACTTAATGCAGATGTTGTTGTTGCTGCAGCCAAATTCCCTCCTGTGGTGCTGCCCTGGGTGTCAGTTTAATGACAAGAGGGATGCAGTTCCCTGGTGCCGTTCCCTCTCCCAGGCAGAGCTGTCCAGTCAGTGCCTGGGCTGCAGTTTTGTAAGGCAAGTGCCAGTGGGGACAGACCTGGGACCTGTGGGGTGCAGCAGCAAGGGAGCTGTAGGAACTGGGAGGATGATCACCCACACCCTATAGGGGGTGGCTCGTGCCCTCAACACTGGCTGAGTTCTCTGGCAGGGCAACAGCACCCTGGGAGAGAAGGGAGTTGTTTTTCCTGAGACACTGGAGTCTTGTGTTCCTTGAGCCTTGGTGAGCACTGACCTTCAATAGGAAGGCTCCCCCAGAGCTCACGGCTCGCTGGGCCTGTTGGGGGAGTCCTTGCAAGCCTCCTTGGGCAAAGGAGGGGCTGAGGCTGCTGTGGGACAAGGCCCGTGCTCTGCCCGGGCACTTGGCAGCCTCTGCAGTGCTGAGTCTCAGGGTTTGCCCCTCCTTGACAAGACGTGTTTGAGTGGAAAGACGTGAAAGGTGATTTATCTCTGGAGGGGTATTAAACATCTGTTGGACAGTGACAAATGTCTTATGCTCCATTCCATGCTCTGCGGGGTGAACGCTCTCTGTTCTCTCAGTATCTCTCATTCCCTCGGGGTCATCTCTTTGCCCAGATGTGTCGTTCCTGAGCTGCGTTTGCTCTTCTCCACCCTCGACTGTGGACCGTGCTCTGCAAAGGTCCCTTGCCAGAAGACGCTGATCCTTGTGAACCCGAGCCCCCTTCCAGGATGCTACAGAGTTCTCCCTCAGGTTTGGCATCTCATCCCCCTCCTCCTCTCAAATACTGTTGAGGGGTTTATTAGGGACAAATGGGGTTTTCATAAGACCTTGCTGGTTTCTAATCAGACTTAAAGGTGTGCTGAGAACAGGATTCTACCTGAATGTAAACTTTAGAAAGCAGTTAAATAGGAACCTACCTGAATATCAACTTCAGGAAGCATTTGAACCTCTTCAGGAAGCAGTTTATATTCTAGTGTTTGGGGTGTTTTCTTGTGAGAGCTCTTAGAAGGTTGTGAAAAGCTGCTGCAAGGAGGCTGCCAGCACAGGAGTGGGTGTCTGTGGATGCAGCAGCTGTTGGATCCCCAGAGGATGCTGAGCCCCAACAATTCTTGCATCTTTTTTTGTGCCTTTCAGCTTTTTCCTGGGGATTTTTAGAAAATGTGTGTGAGTTGCCATTGTGGTAGATGTGAAGGAGTTTAAAGTTTCCGCAAAGGTCCCTCTGAAGTTGCGCTTGATTCCGTCCCTCTAGAGACACCAAGAGGCCGCTGCTCTGTGGTACTCCAGCCCCAAGCCGTGTGGGATTATCCAGGGTCACAATGTGGTGGAGATCCCCATTACAGTTGAAGTCCAGGCAGTGGGTGCTCCTTCCATCCCGGTGGATATCGCCGTGTTCGGGAAGGAGACATCCCCACTGGTGAGTGCGAGGGGAGACGTGTGCCTTTGTGCAGTTCATCCTGGGGGGGTGGAGTGCACAGGGATTCTTCCAGGGAAAGCAGGGACTCGTCATATATGGCTGGTGTGGACAAGGACAGAAGGCAGTGGTGGCATAAGCAGTGTATGCTGGAAAAGAGGAAGAGCGGAGTCCTCCTAGGGGGTAATCTCAGCATATGGTTCATCTAAGCTGAAATCGAGGATCATTTTATTTAATTAGTCTTCCATTGAAAATGCTGGTAACTGTGGAAACACTTTTAAAATGTCATCTCCCTGAACACAAAGGGAGGATTCTGGGAACCTTCAGCTTTCTGTGTCAGAAAGGAAGGCTGATGTTTGAAAAGTGGTTGCAGGGATTTAAACTTAGAGTCAAGCAGATGGAAAGGATGATGTCAAATCCCCTGGGTGGCACCAAACATCTCAAGCCGGGCCATTGCCGTTGTGCATGTAAACCAGTCAGCAGGAAGGCCAGGCAGTGCAGGCTGTGCAGGGGAGCCTGACTTTTAACAAAACACTTGCTTGTAACTATCAGGCTGCTTCCCTTAAAGAGCAGGGTTTCTCCCCACCAGAATAACCAGCTGTTTAACTGCCAGACTGTTTTTAACTACAAATTTCTTGCAAAGCTTTTGCCTTTGGGCCAACAGTTTACAGTTTTTCTGAAAGTTTCCCAGACTTTAATCTTTTTTAATTTGGAAGGGAAGATGTCAAAAGTTTGCCTAACAGGCCAGCATTTTAACTGGAGTATCATATCTGTCCCTAGAGAAATGACTTGAGTGCGATTGAGCTGTTTAAGCTTTCTTAACTTTCCCTGTTGTGTGGGTTTGTTTTTTTTAAATCTCTCTTACCTGCTCCCTGGAACAGCAAATGCGTTTCATGTGCACTGGAAAGACGCCGCTTGTCTACGCAAGTGTGAATAAGATAAACTTGGGCGAGATCCAAGCGATACAGGAGACTTCCCAAACTCTCCAGCTGTGCAATCAGGATCTCATCCCTGCAGCCTTCAGAGCAGAGATCGTAAGTGTCTGTGGGGCTGTTTTCCAGGGAAACTCCCTGGTCAGCAGCAGCCCAGGACTTGGATTTTATATGTAAGGTTTCTGTATCACCCTGTGGGAGAGAGGAGACAAGAGATTCCATCCGAGGCAAGAGGAGCCTGGCTCTGCAGGTGGTTTTAGCTGGGACAACCTTCAGTGAAACAGTTTTCAGAGTTGTAGGAGCAGAAGCGAGTCTGGATTGTGGTTACAAGTTCTCCCTTTATTTTGGGGAAGGTATTTAGCGGTGCAGGTTGGGTTTTTGGAGCTCTGAGATGAAGAGGAGCCAGTGGCCCTTTGCTCCTGAGAGGGCAAGGATTTCCCCGTGGTTTCCTCATACCACCTGCATTTGTTTTGTGCCAAAGTGCTGTTAATGGTAGAGACCAGGGTGTGAGGTCTGGCCTCAAGCTCTGGGTGGGGAGAGGAGTTTCCCCTTCCTGGGGTCAGAGCAGCAGGGCTGTTGCACACAGACACAGCTGCAGGGATTGTGCACCTCTGGAGCCTGTGGCCTCCATAGCCTTGGGGGGAGGTTTGTTCTCCTCCGTGCTGAGTGGGCTGGACTGCTGGAGCTGGTTGAAGCCAGCCCCGACACGGTGGGCGTGGTTGTGTCTGTGGATAAAGCAGCAGGCGGTGGGGGAGAGTCCAGGCTCAGCCTCCTGGGCCAAGGAGGAGGAGAGTGAGTTTTCCACTTGCTGCTTTCCCAGGTGTCTGAGGAGGAAATGTAACCTCCAAGTGAGGGATTTCCAGGGCAGCTTTCTTCAACTCCACAATGAAGTTCTGCTCTCCACCCCTGCAGAGAGCAAGCCACCTCGGATGGGTGGTGCTGGCATGGAAATAATAGTTTTTGCATGCTCATCCCAGGCCGGGACCTGCCGAGCTGTGTCTGTACAGCTGTCCCAGTGGAAGGCCTTGCCTCCCTCCCCAGGGCAGCTTGCAGCTTTCTTACCCCATCCACAGAGGGAAGTCCATGAGAAAGCAGAGGACCAGAGTGGGAAGGCTGGGCCATGCCCACAGGGCAGTTTTCTTTCTGCTTCCTGTTTTCCTGCCCTGCTACAAGCATTTAGAGCTGACTTTTCCAAAGCCAAGGGCTCTGGGGCACCTCTTGGCAGCTGATGCTCAGTGGGAAGCCAGGGCTTTGGTCCTTCAGGGGCGAGGACTTTGGTGCTGGGCTTTTGCTCAAGCGGTTTTGCAGAGTTAGTCTTCAGGCTCTCAGCAGTATCCTGCAGCTGTGTGGCTGCTGTGGTGGGATTGGAGCAGTCGTGGCTTTCTGCAGCCTTGAGCCTTTGTGAAAACCCAGCTCTGCTGTGGGGAAACCAGAAGAGAGAAAGTAGCTTCCCTTGGCATACACTCCAAGAAAAGACTGGGGGGAGAATAACATTCTCCTGAGGAGGAGCATCCCTTGGGTTGGGCAAAACTTAAAAGTCTGTTAAAATGGGTTCAAGGCGGGTAAAATACAGGTTGTATAAGCTCTGCTCTTGCTCAGACACAGTAGTTTAGATTTAGGGAAATGAAGGCTTTACGCTTTTTACCCTCCTCTCTGTAGTCGTTCCTTTTCTCACACCCCACAAGTCACCAGGGTCCATGGTTTCCATCCTAAATGCATGTTTGCCTTGTCTTCCAGGATGGCAAATGCTGGAGTATTGAACCCAGGGAAGGAGTGGTCCCTGCCAAGGCTGAGGTTCCTGTGGTTGTCACGGCAAACCTGGGTGACACAGGGAGATTTGAAGACAGCATGAAGCTGTTCATTGAGAACAGCCTTACCAGTGTCATCCCCATCCAGGCTGTGGGCACTGGCACCACAATTGCCATTGACAAACCGTTTGCGCCGGAGCTGAATTTGGAACCCCAGTTCAAGTAAGAGATCTCTTAACTCCTGCCTCTCCTCTTGGCTCAGCAAGGAGCAGTTATGCTGTAGACTTTCAGGCTAAATCTTTTACAGTGCTCCAGGCCCTGGCTTTGTTTCCCTGAAGCCAGAGCTTCCTTTAGAAACATGTTGTTATGCTCAGGTTCCTTAAATCATTAGAGAGACGCCTCTGCCCGAATTAAGGGGCGAGCGAGACCGTGTGCCAAAGTCAATAGTACGGGTTTTTATTTAACAGTAAATGTGAGGAAGAGAGAGATAAAAAGAAATGGGAAAAAGAGAGAAAGGGGGAGAGAAAGAGAATGACAAAGAGACAGATTAAGTAGAGAAAATATCACCGCTGCATGGATTCCAATGGCATCCCATTGATGCTCTTCTTGTGGCCTTCTCGGTGGTGAAGTGTTCTCAAAGTGATGGTTTCAGTCTGCATCCATTAAGGGAAGCCCAGGATGGTGAGGGAAAAAGCCCATGGTGACGAAGGAAGTCTCTTGTGCTGAGGGAAGCTGTGGAAATACTACATTACCAGTGTAAACCTCTTACTCTTTGCAATAACGACATCAGAAGGGCATCAGACATTGTTTCTGGTCCACATTAAGAGCGGGAAGGGAAGATGGTCTCCAAGCTATTAACGCTTCAGATTGCTCACTAAGAGCACTTGACTGCAGGGAAATAGCAGCTCCCATGACCTTTTCCATCTCTGCTTCTCCTCCAGCCTCGTTCCCTGCGTTTTCCGGTTCAACGTGACAAACAAGGGGCGTCAGTTCCAGCGGCTGTACTGGGGCACAGAAGGTTTCAGCCCCTTTCGACAGCGTCATCCTCTCCCTGCCCTCTGTGTCACCAAGGGCAAAAACGCTTCCCAGAGACACACCACCCCCGTATTTAAGCTGCGGCCACGGAGTATGAATCTGCAGCCAGGCCAGACTATGGAGCTGGTGCTGGAAGGCTTCTCCAGCACTGTCCAGGTGAGGTCCCTGCCAAGGGCTGAGCCTTCCCCATCAGGTCCCCTGCACTGGGGCTTCTCCTGCAGCCCCTTGACATTTGCCTGGGCAAATGAGCAAGGGCCTTCAAGACAGTGTTTAAGGCTACAGGTTTCCATGGCAGCACCAGTGGCTTTCCTTGCTGGCCACCATCGGTTGCTAAGGCTTTTTTGTGATTCCATAGCTACCAAACCCCAATGCTGATCCCAAAATACGGGCTGAAGGAAGTATTGCTTCTTGGGGGCAAACAGGGGGTTACCAGTGTCACCTGCTGAGGCACAAAGGAAGGGCAGAGAAAATAGGTTACACTTAAAGCAGGAGCCCAAGCAGAAAGTGAATTAAGCAAGTGCCAAGTGGTTTCTCTGGAGTAAGCAGAGAGTAAAAGAGAAGCCCTGTGAAGGGAGGGAGTGTCTCACGAGTGCCTTTTGTGGCTATTGGGGTGCAGTGTTAGGGCCATTGGAGCACAGAAGAAATAGGCTGCAGCAGCACAGGAAGAAAAGGGGGCAGTGTCTGTAACTTTGTGGCCCATGGGGGGTGAGGAGCCAACGCAGGGCGTTTGCTGGACACCCTGCCAGCAGCACTGGTGACAAGTGACTCTTGCATGCAGGACGTGGAGGAGAAGCTTGTGTGTGAGACAGTCGTGAAGCCAGAGATAACAAAGAAAGAGATAATCAAGACAAAGGTCACCTGCAAGTTCATTTCTCCCGCTGTGCAAATATCATCCAAGGCAATCACTTTCCGTGTGGAGAAGGTAAGTCTCTGGATTGCATCCTGGCATTTAACAGCATGGCTCAGCGAGAGAGCTCGTGGGGGGGGGGTGTGCTTGTGTTAACAGCCCTCTTTACCCTTCCTGAGGCACTTTGTAAGGTAAGTGAGGATGTTTTTAGAGATGAGACTGGTTTTTAGCTTCCTCAAAGTAGAATTGTGGCTCCAGCCGCACTGCTGAGGGGGACCGTGGCCACCTGGAGAGAAATGCCAGTTTCTGTGCTCACTGTCAAGGGAGGTTTTTGAGGATCCTCCAACGCACGGTGAAGTAGGGAAGCTGGGAAAACCAGAGATTCCTGTGAATTCCTCAGGCTGATGAGGAAAAACCTGTCATCTGCTGTGTGTCTTTGCCTTCTCTGCTGTTGGCATGGATGCTCTATGGTATAGCTCTATGGTACAGCTCTGTGCATTTCCCCAAGCCTCACCTGCTTCTAAGGACCCACACACGTCCTGCAGCTGCAGTGATGATGCCACCGAGGCAAAGCAGGTGCCCTTTAGTCTCTGGATCCCAACTTCTGCATCATCATTCCCTGAGCATAACAACATGTTTCTAAAGGAAGCTCTGGCTTCAGGGAAACAAAAATGTTGCATTTTTTAGTTTCTGTGGTTTCGGGTCTCTCCTCAGGTTACCAGGCTTCCACGGAAGCACCGAATTCTGGGAACGGGCAGTTTGGATGTAATGAGCAGCTTTTCAGCTCTCCCTGATGCCTGCTTGTGCTCTGCTTGATGCCACACTGATTTATGGAGTGCTCTGGCGCTGCAGCTGTTTGATATCAGTACATCCAGAACTAGTTTCCCAAACTCTGGTTTCTCTGCCCCGTGCAAGAAGCCCACCACAATGCACAAACAAGAAGGAGCTTAGGCTGATCATAGCTTGGAGGTTATAGACACCATGTGCCTGTGGCAGAGGCAGCAGGACACACATTGCAGAGGGACTGTTGAGGTTTCTGGCTGGCCACATGTTCATGGAATGTTCAAAGCTGACCTTGGGCTGCTGCAGGATCTCCACGAAGGGCCAAATCCTGCTTGCTTTTCTCTTCTGGCTGGCATCACTGCTTCTAGGAGGCTGCTGGAGCCAATAAGGCTGTGAGAAATGACTGTATGTGAGGGAAGATCATCTTGTGCTGTTCTGCCCAAGAGAGGAGACAAAACTGGAGACAAACGTTCTGGGGTCACTTTCTGCCTTTGATCTTGTTCAAGCAGCTGCCTCCTCTCAGGAGCCTATTCCCTCCTCTGTTCATGGAAGTGTTTCCTTGTCTCCCAGGGGAGGCTGGGGTTTCGAAACATGTAAAGAATCAGCTCTAGGGAAAAATGTCCTGGAAGGTTTAGAATCAAAGAAAAAGAGTAAATAGAGATGTATGCACTTCTGAGGTTGAAAAATGTGAAATGCGTTGGAAGGGGAAGGAGGTCTGTGGTTCCTTGAGGTTGTTTTTCCTTGTCTCCTGTTTCTGTAGCACCCCGATGATGTCCTGACTCTTCAGTACAAGCCTCTATCTTTAAAAAACACCTGCTGCCTGCCATTCCACCTTTTGCTGGACTTGGAGCAGCCGTTCCTAATCTGTGATGCAGACCATCAGCCCCTCCCTGCAGGGGCCCAGGTGAGCAGCCAAGGACCCTCCTGCCAGTGGGCTTTGAAGAGGGAGGGCTGTGGTGGTGCCCTTCTGTTGGGAGGTCCTCGAGTCAAGAAGTTTATTCCATAGAGTCAGCAGTGGACTGGCCTGAACTGTGAACTGAGTCAGCAGAGCTGCTGAAGGAAGCAAAAACTCATCTGAATTGGAAAGATCCCTCCTGGCTCTTAAGATACAAGGGGAAGGGAGCAGGCAGCCAGGTGTGGGCAAGCCATGCAGCAGAGGTGTCTCCTGGAGAGCACCCCAGCTCTCCAGCAGCCATCCTCTTGTATTGCTGCTGAGCACAGAAACAGGAGCCTGAGAATCCCCCACCGGAGTGTGGTGCTTGCAGTCAGAGCCTCCCTTGTAAAGAACTGAAGGGTGGACTGGGAAGGCCGTGCTGGGGTCACACTTGGAGCGTTTACGGTTTTGTGCTGTCAGACCTTGGGACTTCATCGTGTGGGTGACTGACACTCCTTGTCTCCTTGCAGCCTGTGAAGATGGAGGCAGGGCAGGAACTTCATCTCTCCATCGGCTTTAACCCAGCCTATGAAAAGGATCCGATCAGCTGGGTAGCAGAGAAGACTATGAAGATCCAGCTGGTGGAACATCCTCATGAGGAAGAGATCACCGTTCGGGGAGAGGTCTACTTCCCGAATCTCCGTATCCCGACCAAAGCGCTGGACTTCGGTTGCATCGCGAATGGCGCAAAACAAGTGCGTTCCCTGGAGATGACCAACTGCAGCCCAATTCCTGCCCACTACCACTGGTCATTCCGGGTGAACAGCAAGGAGTACCTGACAGGGTATGTGCACCTTTGCCCTCTCCTGGAAGCTCTGGTGTCCTGTTTGTACTTTGCAAAGACCAAAGCTGTTTGCCTGGCATCTGACAAACTGCTTTTGACTTTCCCTTGTGGAAATAACACCGACCAGCCGTGCTCAGGCTGGATGCTCAGGGAATAGGCGTTTTCCATGAGTTTGGTGCTGCTGTAGTCCCCCTCCTGGTTTCCTCTGGGAAGGAAAGCTGGTAGGGAAATCTGCTTTCTCAGACCTCTGTGGCGTGAGGCAGTGACCACCTTGGTGAAGGGCTCCTAGTCCCGCCTCCACAGTGCTGGTGGAGGCACTTTCACAGCCCTTTGGCCCCTCTGCTTTGGAATGGGTCCTCTCTGCGAGCAGAGAAACTGCTCTCTGCTCCTTGCTACCTTCTCTGCATTCCCAGCCTTGGCCTGGAAGTGCTGGAGGATGCCCAGAAAGTCCCAAATTACGTCACAGAAAGAGCTAGTTAGCACCTGAGCTGATGCTGAACATCTTGCTACCTTCCCCTTCCTTCTCCTTTTCTGAGACACCCCCTTTCTGAGCTCATCACACCTGCACCCACCCAGGGGCTGCATCCTGACGAGGAATTGCTCGTGCAGGTGTCCCTCCCTCCCACTGCAGGTCCGCGATCATGGTTATGTTGTTTTCCAGGTTCATACCTTCCCCACCTAGATTCAGACCCCAACCACAAATGGCCAGGTTCGGCTGTGTTGAGTGTGGGCGTTATTCAAGGAGGTACTTCAGGCCTGGAAGTGTGCGGGAGCCAGCCAAAGCCCCGGAAGCAGCACAGGACTCTTCCCAACAATCATCACATTCAGCAAACTGCCTGGAAACAGAACAGAATTCTTCCCAAGAGTCATCAGATTCAGAGAACTCCCTGGAAACAGAATGGGATTCTTCTGAAGAGTCATCGGATTCAGAGGGCTCCCTGGAAACAGAGGACGATTCTCCTGAACAGTCACCACATCCAGAGAACTCTCTGGAAACAAAGCAGGACTCTTCCCAAAAGTCATCACATTCAGAGGCCTCCCCGGAAGCAAAGGTGGGTTTTCTTGTGCACCTGCCACTTGTGTTGCCTCCCCCAGCTTGCTACCAAAAAGCCGTGCTCATGCTGACCTCCCCTTTTGCTGCCCTGCTGTTCTGTGCCCTGAGAGTGGGCTGGGCAGCAGGGCCAGTGGCTGGACATGGGGTGTCTGGGGAGGGAGAAATAGGATACTTTTCTTTGAAGAAGCCCACTCTGATCCTACAGACCTATGCTGAGTTGGGGATTTTTTGGCTTGTTTTCTTTACAATGTAAAATGAGGCTTTTCTGCATCATGATGAGAAGGCTCCCAGTTTCCTTCCTGTAGCAAACCGTGCCAAATCCTGATCTCCATGTACCCCCTTCCCAACCCAGCTAGAGCACCCGTTTTCAGGTCTCTGCCTTCACCCATGAGCCGGCATTGCAGTGACGGCCCCAGAGCTGCCCTTTATAGAGTGAGACTTGGCAAGGTGGCTGTGTCCTGGAATGGAAAGTGCCTTGTCTTCCAGGTGCCACCATCCACTGCTGCAGGGCCTCGGAGCTCAGTGGAGACGAAGGGGTCTGGGCAGTCGGTGGAGGCAGAGGCCCCTGGCTTCAGAGCGGAGGAGGTGAGTGGGAATCTCTCTTGCTTGCACGTTTTCAGCGTGGCAAGCAGGTCTGTTGCCCCCAGAGCTACAGAACTCCCTCTGCAGCACCCAGGGAGGGCATTGCTCCCCTGGTACCTCATCAGGTGCTCAACAGGATATTTTTCAGGAGCTTTTGGTGTAGCACCTTGAGAGAGCAGCATGTAAGTCAGAGAGAGAGGGAAAAGCCTCAGGAGTCAGATGAGCTGGGCTGGAGTCTTCCCCTCAGCTCCAAGAGCTCTCACCTCTGAGTCTCCTGCTTTTCTGAAGGCAGTAAAAACCGGTTTTAAAGGCAAGTTCTGCAGCAGAGAGAATGTCTTGCTGCCAGGAGACATCCCAGTTTACTTTAATGTCTGGTATTAATTAATGCATTGAGCAGTGAGTATGGCAGAAGACTTTGGCCATGCTCCCTCCACTGGTCAGTGGCATGGAGGCAGGATGAGATTAGGATGCTTCTGGCTGGTGTTTGAGGAATAGGCCCCTCCAGCTACGGTTGTGCTTTGCTCCAAGCCACGGCTGCTCTTCTGCACCCATTTCCACGCTCAACGACTCGATCCCTCCTCCCCTCCTGCAGGTTTTTGGTGTCCAGCCGGTGTCCGGTGTGCTGCAGCCGGGCAAGAGCCAGCAGGTGCCCTTCACCTTCTTTGGCCATGCCAACGTCATCGCCCGTGTCACAGCGCTGTGCCGGGTGGAGGGAGGCCCGACCTACGAGGTGGAGCTGAGGGGAGAGACTTCGGTCCTCACCTACCACCTGAGCATCGAGGAGATCAACTGTGGGCTGCAGGTACCACCCCTTCTCCTGGCAGAGCTGCTGCCTTGGGACCATCACCAGCAGGTTGCTGCCCAGCCCGGCCCAGGGCTCCCTCCCCTTCCCAGCTCCTTTGTTGGCTCTGGGGCTTGGAAGCACAACCTTGGAGGGATTTGTCTGGCATCCAGACTGCTTTGCAATGGCTGTCTCCACCCCCCTCTAGAATGTTGGGAATTCCTTCTCTTCAGGGTGCCTAATGCTGCCTCCTGGAGCAAGCAGGATCCCAGTGGGGATGTCCAGAGGGACACGTCCCTGAGACATCCCTCTGCTGATCCACTCCTAAAGCCTGAGCTCCAGTGAGATGCTCTTGTTTAATGCTCTTGCTTAATCCACAAAATAACCCGGTTGGGCTTCCAGTCACTGCAGTTGGAGAGAATGTCCCAGAATAATCCCCACTTTCCTACTTCTCAGTTAAAAGTCCACAGGTCTTTCCAGCTGCTGTCCCTGTCTTGGTGCCCCGTCTGTCTCCCTTTTGGCTGGTGTGTTGCTTGCCAGTATTTGCATGCAGGCGCCTTTTCTTCTGGAAAGCCTCGATGCCACCTCCTTTGTTTCTCCTGGCTGTTGGTGACCCCTCAGAGTGCAGAGGGCCCGTGTCCCCTGCTTCATTTCTTATTGGCCCTCCCATGGTTGTTCCTGCCCCTCTGCGTGCTGCCAGAACTCTGTTCCTGTGCAGGTCCCTGTGCCTGGGGGTTCCCCACGTTCCCAAGTGCCCGTAGCTCGTTCCCAGTCCCTGCTCCTGTGGTGTGTCTGCTTTCAACTCCATGAAAGAGGAAATAGATTCTCAGCAGCAGGCCTGTGTCCGTAACTTCCCACTCCTCTGTCCTCTCCAGCTCTTTAACGAAGTCACCAGAGCCGAGGTCACCCTGCGGAACGACAGGAAGGTCGGATTCACCTACGTGGTGCAGAGTCCCAGCACTGGCACTGCAGACAAGCCTCTGCCTGGTGTGCTCATGGTCCTGCCCAGCACAGTGAGTGGCACAATTGACTGACCCAGCCCTGTGTCAGGTGGCCAAGGAGAGGGTTAAAGAGAAAAAAGGGGGGCAAATAAAACCAAACCCAGCCATAAGAAGAGACCGGGCTGTAAGCAATTGCTGCTGGGGGCAGAGAAGGTCAAGCAAGTGCCATCCTAACAGACTGCCCCGTGGCCTTGGCTGGCAAGTGGCTCTGCCATCCCAGGGCAGCCACCGGTGGGAGGCACGAGCACTTTGGTCACTCCTTGGCCCCCGACTGCTGAGCTCTGTGGCTGTGCTGGCACTGAGGCTCTTCTGAGGGTCACCTTACCCCAGCTGTGGGATCAGACAGGACTAAGCAGCACTTACATATTCCTTGCTTGGGCTTGAAGCTGCTCTGCCAGAAAGTGTCACAACCCCTGTGCTGGTCCTTCCCTCCCCCCAGCTGTGCTGCTCTGGAGCAGCTTTGTGGGGCAGTGAGGGGGCCAGGGAGGAGCGGGGCTGGAAGAGCCAAGAGAGGAATTTGGAGCATCCCACCACTGTCCCAGCTTCTCAGTGCTGCCTGGATGTCTTTGAGGTGAAGCAGTGTTCCTGTCTTTGTCCCTCTTTGCCATGGGAAGAGGAAGCCGATTGGCTTTCCCATTTCTTCCTGCCTGTCTCCTACAAGGGGTGGCAGGAGCTGCTGGCCGGGCTGAGAGTGTGGGCGCTTCGCTCCTCTTCCCCAGTGGTGGCAAAAGAGCTTTTACCTGTTCAGCCTGGCTCTCGCTGGCAGAGGGCAAACCCCGTTAGCAGCAGAGCCGTGCTCACGCTGAGCACAGGGCAGGCTCTGCTGGGGGTGCAGCCTTAGGAGCCCTGGGAAGGACACACTGCACCCTCTGCACCCTCGCCTTGGAGGCTTGGGCTTTTGGGCACGAGGAAGGTAGAAGGTGATGTGGTCTGACATTTTTTTCCAGAGAGAAACTGTCTTCTCTTCTCAGCCTGTCTGTGGCCTGAGCCTTCCTCCATCACACCCTCTTTGATGCATTGCCTCCCTCTTCTCCTGTCCCTTGCAGGCTTCCATTGAACCTGGCAAGGAGCAGGTGCTGAAGCTCTATTACCTGCCAGGAGTGCCAGGAGTCTTCTGCAGGACTTTCCAGGTTCAAGTGGGTCACCTGAAACCGGTAGAAATCTCCCTGAAAGGAGAGGTGATCTTTGCTGGGATCTGTCTGGACCTGCCCTGGAGCATCAGAGGTGAGCACTGCCCGTCTGCTCCCCAGCAAAGTCCCCACTGGGGTTTTCCTGGCTGTAATGCCCAGAGGGCAGCTCACACCCATCTCCACCAAGCCTGGAGGTTGCAGGGCTGCCAGACCAACACTCACCCCTCTGGTTGCTTCCTGAGTCTTGAGCAGACAAGCACATGGAGGCTTTGTCCAAGTAACCATCCTGCAGCTCTTGCCAGCACTTCCGTCAGAGGCCTGGAAAGATGGCTAGACAGAAAAGCTTGGGAAAGCTGTAAGAGAGACTGGCAGGGCTTTTGGCAGGGATGGATTTGCATGACACTGCAGGGGATGAGATGCTCCTCTGTGGGGAGGAAGATGGGTGGGAGTGAACATGAGGATTCAGAGACGAGCAGCAGCATCCACTTTCCAGAGACGGCTTTCCATTGATGGGTTGTTTCTGGGAGAGACCAGCATTCGGGGGAGTGGGACTTCTCAGCTTCAATGGCATTGGCACTGCACCCACACTTCTATTTGTGAATGTTTTCTTCCTTCAGGAAGTGAAAAATACGAGAGGCTATTGAAACAGGCAAAAGAAAAGCTGAAAAAGGACAAGCAGGACAAGAAAGTAAGTGTTTGGAGGAAGGCTCAAATCAGGAAGCGACACGCGAAGGGCCCTGGCATTGTGGTAGGAACAGCTGCAGTCCCATTTGGCACATGCCACCCTCCCCATGTCACTTGAGGCCCTGGCACCCCACAACACCCCACAACAGCTTCTCAGTGCCCTGCTGGCACTTGGCACCTCCCTGCCCACACCTGACCACAAACATTCATCAGCTCAGCGTTGCCCCACCTCTGGTCGTGGTCTCTCCTGGAGATGTACCAAGCTCCCCAGCTACTCCCCTTGCTGGGGAGTTTGTTGCTCCCAAATCAAGCCCTAGCAGGTTTACAGACCTTAGGAACAGCAGCCTGACTGTGCCCTGGGACTGTGCTGGCAGTACTCAACTCCAACAGGCAGTAGCTTGGTCGGGGTTCCCTTTTCAAGACAGCTTTTGTCCAAGCTGCTTTGGCACTGGTTGGGGACAGGCAAATACTTGAAGCTCTGGAAGGCTGCTGGCTTGTCTGTCTGGCCAGATCAGCTTTTCTAGCAGTGGGTGGGAAGGCACAGATGCTGCAGTTATTTCCCTGGAGAGAAGGTCCTGGCTAGGAGAGCAGAATGTGACACTGAGCAGCCAGGAGGACCCCATTCCCCCTTTCAACAAGAGCAGGGTGGGATCCTCTTTAGATACAAGCCTGGGCCTTGGGAAGGGCCTTTGCTAACCAGCCACTGCCTTCCCTTCCCTCAGGCAAAGGCTTGGCTGAGGATGGAGATGGAGCAGATGCTGATAAAGGAGAATGCTCTGGAGCTGCAGCCAACCCTCATCTCCCGCCCCCCAGAGGACACTGTCTTTAACAAGAGCATTCCTCAGAAGCTTGTCAAGTGAGTAGGGGCTCCTGTTCCCTCTCTGCAGGTGCCCTGAGGGCAACAGCCAGCAGTGTCCCCTGCTCCTGAGAGCTCCTTGTGCATGCAGAGCTGGGAACAGTGGGCACTTCAGATTGGGTCTGATCCCAGTAGCTGTGGCAGCAATAGCTCGTGAGCAGCTGACTGTCCTCCCTTCCCCAGCGCTGCGCTGAGCTTTGGAGCTGCTCAGCTCCCCACAGGTGCAAGGTCCTGTTCTTAGAGCTGCGAGGGCCCAGTGCAGACCATCAAGCCCTTCCAGACAGCACAGACACAGTCCCTGCTGACCAGCTCGGAAAGAGAACTCCAAGCTGCTCTCTTGGTTCTGACTGACAGAGCCCCCTAAGCAAAAGGTGGCTTTGATGCTGGTGGGCTGGCAGGGCTTATCTGGGTAACTTGGTCCTTCCCTTTGCTCCTTCATGATGCTGCCTGGGCATGGGAGGCTCCAGTTCAGGAAGAAGATGCTTTGCAAAACAGATCCTTCATGTGAGCAGCAAAGTTTTCCTGTGCAAATCTTATTCCAAGGCTCGGAAGCAATTTCAGGCTTGGGCTGTGCACCAGGAGAAGCGTTTTCACTGAGACCACTGGAGGTCCAATGGATTTACCTACACGGGCTTTTTGTAGCAGAGGAGCTGTGACCAGAGTCCATTGAAAACTAATTTTATTTTCGGGTCCCATTGGAAGCTGATGAAACCTAGGACCTGCACTCCCCATAACTTCCCAAAGTCATTCCCAGGTGGTCAGGCCTTGGGTTTTGTAGGCTTGAGTTGAGTTTTTACAGCAGTGAGTACAGAAATGTCCACTTTATTTGAATCTTCCGTCTACTTGAACGTGTGGCCATGCTGTTGTTTAAGGACTGTCCTTACTCCTCCTTCCAGAGTTGAGCTGCCCGAGTACATCCTGGACATGGG